TGCCCGAGCCGGCGCGCGACCCGGCCCTCGTCCTCCTCGACGGGCCCAAGGACCTCGTCGACCTCGCGAGAGAGACGGAGAAGCGCTGGAACAACGGCACTCGGGACGCGCTCAAGAGCGCGGAGCAGCGCCGCCTCGAGGCCACGGAGGCCGCGAAGAAGGACGCCGCGCTCGCCGACGGCCTCGACGCCGCGCTCAAGCTCGTCGACGACGACCTCCGCGCGGAGACGCGGCGCCTCCGCCGGGAGGCGCGCGTCGCCCTAGGCCTCGAGCAGCCCGAGGTCGCCGTCTTCGACGCCCTCCACGCCCTCCGCGCCGCCCGGTGCGCCTACACCTGCGTCGACTGGTTCTTCCAGCGCGAGGCCGACACGACGTGGCGCACGAAGCACTTCGTCTGGGAGGTCGCCGGCGACTTCCTCCTCGACTACAAGCTCACCATCAAGAACGTCGCAACGACGGGCTTCGCCACCGCCTACCAATCCGCCGCCTGAACACATAAGCCATCGACTGTAGCCCCCACGGGTGGGATGGCGTCGAATCGCCAAGGAGCCTGTTTTTTGCTCATGTGGTAATCTCCGGGGGTGTAACACTGCTGGGTAAGCTCTCCGACGGTCGACTCGGATGTCACCGCGCCGACTCTCGAAGAACATTACTAGGTAAAGACCACGTCCAGGAACACGTCGCTCGCCCGAGCCGCGTCCGCGTCGCGCGACGCGGCCGCGGCGAGGCCCGCGAGCTCGGCGATGTAGACGGGCATGGAGTGGGGCCGGAGGTACGCGGCGTTGGCGAAGGAGCCCTCCGTCGCGTAGACGAGCGCGTCCGCGCAGCCGTCGCGCGCGGGCGCGCGCGCGGCCTGCGCGGCCGTCTCCGAGCCCAGGAACGCGTAGGTGCCGCCGCAGAGCACGAGCTGCTCGTCTCTCACGTGGCCAAAGGGCGCGGCGCCGCCCAGGGTCGTCGCCAGGAACGCGGGCGGCAGCGACGGCACGGGGTCGTCGAGCGTGTTCACGCGCGTGAGCGGCAGGGCGTCCGCGAGCGCGCGGCCCGCGGGCGTCGCCGCGTAGCCGATCCGCGGGCAGCCGAAGGCGACGACGGACGCCGGCGGCGACCCCTCGGCCGCGAGCGCCAACCCGATGAGCGTCGCCACCGCGCCGCCGAGCGAGTGGCCGACGAGCTCGAGCTCCGCGCCGCCGTCGAGGTCGAGGACGGGGCGCAGCGCCTCCAGGACGCCGGCGGCGACCTTCGCGAAGCCGCCGTGGACGACCCAGCCCGTGCCGCCGAGGTCCGCGAGCGAGCACTCGAGGTTCGTGAGCACGTCGTCGGCCGTGCTCGTGCCCTTGATCACGACGACCTGCCGCGCCGCGCCGAAGAGGGCCCGCGGCGCCGTGTAGACGAAGCACGCGAGCGGCGACGCGTCGGCGAAGCGCACGGCGCCGCCGCCGCCGTGCGCCGCGTGCCACGCCTCCGCCGTCGTCGCGTCGTCCGCGGGGTAGAAGAGCGCCGCGCGCCGCGCCTCCATGGCCAAGGATTCGAAGCGCGCCGCGTCGAAGGGCGCGGACATGTCGAGGAGCGCGTCTTGGGACAGGAGGGACAGATCCTCGACGGGCGCGTCGTCGCGCTGCAGCAGCGCCAAGCCCGCGCCGCCCGCGGCGAGAAACGCCGCGGCGGGCCGCCGCGCGCGGCGCGCCAGCGGCGCGACCTGCGCCCAGGAGACCATCTGTAGAATTTGCTGCGGCGCGCGGGCTCTAGCCCATCGGGGCTCAGAAGAATCGCTTCACCATTCTCTTCACCATCAGGGACCTTGACGCCTCTCGACGCCGATGGCCGCGTGAAAAGGGCAGCCCCATGCGGCCACTGCTGCGACAACTGCTCCTCCTCGCTCTGACGACCCCCACCACCACGCAACAGCAACCGCAGCGCTACGGCGTCTACGTGCAGAGCGACTCGCGCGCGCCGAGCGACGTCGCGCCGGCGAAGCGCAACGAGAGCTGGTGGTGGGCGTCGGCCGCGCTGACGGCGCGCCAGGCGGCGCGCCACGGCGACCGCTACGTGCACTACCGGGTGCCGCCGACGGGCTGCGTCGCGGCCGACGGCCTCACGGAGCTCACCGCGCCCTGGTGCAAGGTCAAGGCGATGCTCCAGGCGATGGACGACTTCCCCGACGCGGCCGTCTTCCTCTACCTGGACAGCGACGCGGCGGTGTCGCCGGCCTACGCGAACCGGTCGCTCGTGGCGCTCGGCGACTTCGTGGCGGCCAGCGTCCTGTGGTTGTGACGATTTCCGAGAGGTTTCGGGCGGGAAAACGATGAAACATCGTGA